AAAACAAAGTTGAAGGAAAACGGTGAAGTGGACAAATACAAGGCAAGGTTGGTGGCAAAGGGATATAAGCAAGAGTATGGAGTTGATTATAAAGAAGTGTTTGCACCAGTTGCACGACATGACACCATCAGATTGGTGATAGCTTTGGCGGCACAGAATTCTTGGCCCATCTTCCAATTGGATGTCAAATCAGCCTTTTTGCATGGAAACTTGGAGGAAGAGGTATTTATTGAACAACCTCCTGGTTACATTAAGTTTGGAGAGGAAAATAAGGTTTATAAGTTAAAAAAGGCTCTTTATGGACTAAAACAAGCTCCTCGAGCTTGGTATAGTCGTATTGAGACATACTTTCTGAAAGCAGGTTTTCAGAAATGCCCTTATGAGCATACACTTTTTGTCAAACTAAGAGATGATGGGAAAATGCTCATAGTTTGTTTATACGTTGATGATCTTATATTCACTGGGAATGATAATTCTATGTTTGATGAATTCAAGAGGTCTATGATGAATGAATTTGAAATGTCTGACCTTGGAAAGATGCATTACTTTCTGGGTTTAGAAGTGGTCCAATCTGCAGATGGGATTTTCGTTTCGCAGAAGAAATATGTAAGGGAAGTTCTCGAAATGTTTAAAATGCAGGACTGTAATTCTTGTGACACTCCAGTTGAGTTTGGTTTGAAATTGCACAAAGATGAAGAAGGAGAAAAGGTTGACAACACACTATACAAGCAGATTGTTGGTAGTTTAATGTATTTAACAGCTACGAGGCCGGATATTATGTATGCTGTTAGTCTGATAAGCAGGTATATGGAGAATCCAACGGATATGCACCAACAAGTTGCCAAGAGAATCCTTCGTTACTTGCAAGGAACTAAGGATTTTGGGATGTTCTACAAGAAGGGTGTCAAGTCTGGCTTTGTTGGATTTACTGACAGTGATTTTGTAGGGGATATTGATGACAGAAGGAGCACCTCAGGCTATGTTTTTATGCTCGGCAGTGGGGCTGTTTCATGGTCCTCTAAGAAGCAGCCCATTGTCACGTTGTCAAGCACTGAAGCTAAATTTGTAGCTGCTACAAGTTGTGCGTGTCAAGCAGTTTGGCTAAGGAGAACTCTTGAAAGGCTGCAGTTTGAACAAGAGGGAGCTTCTATTATATTTTGTGATAACAGCTCTGCTATCAAGTTGTCAAAGAATCTCGTACTACATGGAAGAAGTAAACATATAGATGTCAGATTTCATTTTCTCAGGGACTACACAAGAGATGGAGTAATCCAGCTTCTACACTGCAGGAGTGAAGACCAACTTGCTGATGTGATGACTAAACCTCTAAAGCCAGCAATATTTTCGAGATTAAGAAAACTACTGGGAGTTTGTGAATCTTGCTAAACTGAAATTATTCTTATAACTTTCAGTTTACAGGAGGGTATGTTGAATAATTGACTGTATTGAATCAGTCATTTCATCTGTTAGAGTTGTCCTATTCTTTTGGAATAAGCCAGTGGCTTCATTAGAGTTGTCCTATTCTTTTGAGATTAATTTTCTACATGATCTGTTAGTGCCTAATTTGTAGGAATCAGTTGTATTAGTGCCTATTTAAAGGCTGTATCATCCTGAATAAATATATCACTTCTTCTTCCCAATTCTCTGATTCCTTTTATCATTCACAGAGAAAGATTTCCCTTCATATAAGCTATAATTTTCTCTTCCTAATTAGTGCACAGTAGGTCTTTGTTTATATTCTTCAAAAATCTATACCTGACATAAAGAGAATATATATAATTAATTTCTAATTAGGACACAAGAGGTCGAGAACCACGTAATATCCAATCAACACCGGTAGAGAAACGAACGTGCCAATTATAATCCTGCGCAAATAAATCACATATATATAGTCACTACATCATAAAAAAAACTACATAGATAATTAATTTGGAAAATAAATAAATAAATAAACTCAGTAAAAATGAAATAAATGTGATTAATGATGATAATATTAATTATATATTTACGTACGATGTGCTGAGAACATCGGCATGGATCCCATATTCTTTGGCATAAACGAATGAAGTTACTGCTTGTGGCAATGCGGCCTGTTGACCGTACACATATGCAATAATGGAATTAACAAATTAAACATTCTTAATTAGTAATTAATTTATTGAGAAATATGAAAATAAATGCACAATAAAAAACAGGTAACATTATACTCCCTTCATGCTATATTAATCTGATCATTATGACTTTTTGGATACATTAAAAAAATAAATAAATACTCTCTCCGTCCCATGAAACATTTCCCGTTTCAAAATGGCGCGTCTTTAAAATGAGTAATTTTGGTATTATTTTCTAATTTTGCCTTTACTTTATAAAAGAGTAGGATGAGATGTGTAGAATAGATTAATCATAATTAGAAAATAACACCAAAATTGCTCATTTTAAAGGGGCGCCATTTTTTGAGTAAGTACATCATGTAGCCAGAAACTAGGCAGAAAGTCATAATGATCCGTTAGTATTAAGAGAAGTAATAAATACTCCGTATAAAACTTAATATTTGACACGTTTTTTTGAAACTTAAAAGAAATTTTCTTTATGATCGAAATGTTTTTCTCTTTGTGACATTTTGTTATGGGAGTATGTTATTGGGAATAATAAAATTAAGTCTTTTTTTTAAACAAAATTGAGTGAATGAAATGAAATATACCTGCACTATAGCAATCTTGAAGACTTCGCCGTGCAAACGCAAAAGGGCGGCGCCCAGGGCGGTTGTCGCCGGTCCGACTACGAACCGCAAAACCAAACCGTATATGGTTAAAACCGGACCGCACGATATTATCTTCTCTTGTGACGCCATGAAAAGCCCTACACGTACGTATGGGTCCAAAATAAAACCTCAAAACTAAACCGGATAGAAAATTAAATAATAATTTTATTAATAATAATAATAATAATTATAATCATAATTCTCATTGGATTTTAATTTCTTCTTTAAGATGGAATGAAGAATAATTTACCAGTGGTGAACATGGAAACACCACTACCAGCCTTGGACATGATCAATATAGAATCCTCTATGATGCTAGGCATGTCAAAATTCCACCTGAAATTAATTAAAATTAGAAAGAAAAAAATAGACTTAAATTAATTTCTAATATATTCAAAAAAAAATATAACTAAGACATTATTAAAATACGAAGTATATATATTAATTTATACCTATTGGATATAAGGGCCCAAACCAGGCCAAGAAAGCATGCATAAGAATTAGGGTTCTTGGAAAGTTTGATAAACACGGCTTTGATCAACGGCTTCAACGACGGCGAACTGCTTGCCGCCGCCACCGCCGCCGCATTACTATTCCGTTCAAGATCCACTATCTCCATTTCTATGGACGAAACGCCTCCACTGTTGTGATTATTATCATTATTTGTATTCTCGGTAGCTTTTGTCGTCGTGCTGTTGTTTAGTGACGACGACATCTGGATCAACCTCGTACGTCGGAACTCGCACCCGAACAACAACAACGCCAGCCACAACAAAAACTATTGATGTCAAGGATAATAAAATCACATCAGACAAATTTACGTACATACGTCGAATGAACAAAAATATATGTAGTTTGATCGTGTCAATAATAATTGTGTTTTGGAGAAATAAATTACCTATAACATCAAAACATTATTATGTTTTTCCCTAAAAAAGATTTTACAAAAGTTTTGAATTGAGAAAAAAATAACTTGAGTACATTTTTACTCTGGAATTTTTAAAGTCTGAGTACCTGAATGGCAGCGGCTTGGAGAACGATGTCGTATCCCAACGGCCCGTACATGGCTTGCAACAACGGGACACCTACTACGAGGGTGTTGTTCATGGAGGACAATGAGAAGGTCGTGAGGGACCAATCGAGGCCTCCTTTTTTGGCAAAGTTGGCCCACAGGGCAAGAGCGACAATGACTGCCGATTTCGTGACAATGTCTGAGGCAAGGAAGGGATAGTCCATATGGTAAGGATGGACCTGAGAGAGGAAATAGAAGCTGAAGAATGGGAAGATGAAGAAACAATTGAACCGGTTTATCGCGTCACAGTGGTCCGGTTTCAAAATGTGCCACCACCGAACCGAACCGTAACCTAAGACCGTCGCCACGTAGAGTGGGGCCATGGTGGCCACCACCTTGTACACGTCATCCCAACTTATCATTTTTTTCCTAATGTTTGGGTTGGTGGTAATTCTATGTGGGAGTGAGTGAATGAATGACAGCATGGTAGATGGGTATTATATAGAGGAAGTAGAGGCCATATCACTTTGTTCACCCTTTTACAGGAGGGCAATTTCGTGCATACACTTAAGGTTAAAATTGTTAAGTTTTGGCCATAAATTAAATAAAAGTGATATTAAAAATTGATACAGAATATATTTTATTTAAATATAGGTCAGATTTCAAAAACAGTTGATTGCAAAAAGTCAAAATAATAGAGGTAGTATTTGTTTCCTAATACTAAGATAAATTTGTTTAATTTTTTTTGAAGAAATAAATTTTGGGTAAAAACGTTTATATCGATCTTGTGGACCCTAAATAATGGAAATTCTGTTATTGGCGTGTACACTAAATCAAATAACTAAAATAAAGTTTTCACTTTAATTTTAAATTGGAGCCACGTATAACATACGTAGTATTTTACTTTTCAATTAAACGATCAAAAATGTAAAATTCCATTTGTGATAAAAATGTAAAATTTGTTTTGAGCTGATTATTGGAAATTGATAGAATTTAGGATGAAGTATGGACAACTAGATTGGGTACATCTGTCCCTAAAAACATTAGAGATTTGATTTTTAAGGAATTTAAGAAAAGTGTATTTAGGTGTTGAGTTTTAAAAAATGTGCTTAGATGTGATGGGTAAAAGTAGGATTTAATATGTAGATTAATAATGAATAGATGTGATATGATATGTTAGTTAAAAATTAGTAGGGGTAAAAATGATTTTCTAATACTCCATTCGTTTCCTAAAACACTTTTTGTTTTATTTTTTTTTGTTTTTTTCCAAAACACTTTCACTTTCTATTAAAAAACTTTTGCCCTTAATTTTTTTACATATATCACATCATGCTTTTTCACTAATAATCGATATATCATAGGGAAAAAACCCTAAATAGGACTAAAACATATCAAATATACTTAAATAGGACTCCAAAACTTAAATCCCCCAAATAGGACTTAATTTGCGTCGCCATACGCAAAACACCCCTCGCCATTTGTAACACAGAACCATTTTTTTCCTCACTGGTCGCGCTACATGTCCACAAGACCACAATTTTTTGAACCACATGTCCACATGTCCACATGTCTACATGTCACATTACCACAGTACAAACTCTATTTTGAAAGTAAAAAAATGGAGCTCCGATGTTTGTACTTTCTCTAAAGTGGGAGTAAAAAATGAAAATATAACAAAATAGAATTTAATTTTTCATGTTTTTATTTACAAAATTTGAATTAAAATACAATACATACCAAGCATGACCATGTACATTACAATAAATGCCTATGTAGAGTGTCATATTACCACAATGCAAACGTATATTTAGAAAATAAAAACATGGAACTCCTATTTTAACACTTTCTCTATATTTTATTTCTTTAAGCATTAAGTGATTAAACACAAAAAGATAAATGGGTCAAACAAGGAAAAATGAAATATAGAGGAAGTTAATAACTAGTAACTACATGTACAATGAAAAAGAGAAGAAAAAAGGTGGCACTTGTATGCAAAACAAGAGGAAGGAGAG